TGTGAGCTTATATTGTTTTTAACCAATGAGTCTTCGTTAGATGATAAATTTTAAGAAAATATAATTATATTGTCTATTGGTTTCAATATAGAAGTTTTAAAAGTTAGAAAATAGTTCTTATGATTAAAAATAACAAAACGACATTACAAATTGAAATTACTAATTACTAATAGTAAAAAATACTAATTATTATAATAAAGGACCACAGGCAAACTTATCTGGTTTACTTATCTGATCTGATGAATGATCAAATATGCTTTTAAAGTTTATCGGGAATAAACATCTCGTAACAATAAACAATTTTTATTAACATTGCACACGTTTTGAATCTGTCGGATGTAACTAACACACTGACTATTTATCGTCTTTAATAAAACGTTATAAGATTTACCCTTAATTCAATGTGAGGGAGTATGGAGTTTAATAAAGTTATATTATTAGGCTGAGACGGTATATAGGGCATTATTAAATTAACCAATTTCCTCGGGAAAGCAGGTGGCAAAATTATGGCAAGGGAATTTAATTACATTGCAATTTGAATAAAATTTCTCAACAAATATATGATCATTATTATTAATTAAACCATATTTGTACAATAACTACCGTCCTATTGTAGTTTAACATTATTTTTATCTTTGCTCCGCTTTTTGTATATTCACTCAAGGGGTAGAGACCACAAGACCATATGTGCATAATATATGACCATATGAACAACATTAAATATAAATAAAAAATATAAAAAAATTATATAACTCAACATTAGATTTGAGATTTGTTTTGGATTCTTGAATTGTGGTCCCTTTATTTTACCGTTTTAACGGTGACCGAAATCATAAACATTTTAAATTATTATCAACTAGCTGCTTCTCGCGACTACGTCTGCGTAAAATAGGCTGAAGTCTTAACATTCAGACAGAAAGACATAACATATGCATAAAATATGTATATAAATTATAGCCTATGTCTTTTTCTGATGTATAAGCTATATTATTGTATAGTTTGATTAAAATCCATACAGTATTTGCGTAAAAGAGTAACAAACATCCATCCATACATACAAACTTTCGCCTTTATAATATTAGTAAGTATATATATATAGTAAGGACAGTAATTATGCTTCGCCATTAAAAATTTATAAGTACTTATTGGCAACGCATTGATACATGTTATTTCTTTTAATAACTAACAATATCCCCTCATAACGAATCTGTGTTAAATTTGAAGGAATGTAGACATCTGAAACTAGCTCGTACCCCGATCCACTTCACCTAAATATTAATTGAAGTAGCGTGTGAGATTTATGTTGTTAATTATCTACATACAAAAGTTAATTTGACCGTACTTCATAAGAATATCCTATTTAGTGTTAAACAATGTACCAAATTAATATCAAAAGTGATATGAAAACTATAACTAAATATAATCTCACTAAAATTTCTTATTCATTTTATCTGGGATATTATTTCACCGCCACTGATAGACGTCCGCTCTGGGGACCCCCGTCCATTGTAATTGCACCCTAACGCAATTACCTTAAAAGCCTGTCATTGACGCCAAATTTAATTTACTTTAAAGAAAGACAATTTTCTTATAATATATTTTATTTTCATTTCTTAAACGTGATGTTATGTTTATTCAATAGAAGGCTTTAATGTCTTAACGTATACGATGGATTATCAAGTTATGACATTTTTAAATTCATTTTATTTCAGGTATAGCTGTCATATTAGCAATTCTAGTTGCACGGCATTAAGATATTTTTGGTACACAAAAAGTATTAATAAAAAAGAACAACGTAATATCATTGCAGGAGAATATTTTTCAAAAGATAACGTGAAAAAACTGGTCTTATTGAAAATAATGTAAATTAAGAATGATTGAAATAATTAAACTGCTTAAAAATTAAATCTGTTCGCAGAAACCAACCAGATAATGAGTTTGTGGCTGTTTGAATATTTTAGCTCAAAAAAAAATCCACTGGAACGTGTTCAGACAATAAATAAATTCAGGTGTGATTGGAAATAATGCCAGTGCTATTTATTGTAAACATATACAGTTAAAGCAAGAATGAACACAGCACCGCATTTACTAAGTTAACTGTTGGCACACTGGTCTCCTTATCCTTGTGAATCCTTTTGATCTGGCATAAACAGATAATAATATTTAATACTCAACCACAAGAAAGCTTATATATGGTGGTAATTAAAAATTTTACTCAGAATATACCTACTATACGTATAATCAATACAATGTTTACGCACCCAAAGCACATCTAAATAATTTAAATATAAAGTCTGTTCCATGTGTTAGGGAAGGTTAATATTTTTAATGAGCATTTACTATCTAGTTTAATAAATTGATCAATAATAAACACATACTATACTCAAATATATAACAGAATATTTAAATTAAACAGAACTTTGACAGTCATAGTCATCTATTAAAGTAATCGTTTAGTATTAATTGACATCAATAGCTATACCAAAAACTATATTATGATATTAATCCATATCGTTGCTAATGATTGACGAGTATTCCTTATCATGTAGTTGAGAGTGACGAGTTTCAAAATTCAGTAAGTTAAACCTTATCTTGATAATATAATCTTTAGATATCTTATTACTTTACTATTGTAAAATAAAAATAAAAACAATTAGTATAAAGTCGTCATCATCACCAACATCATTTCAGTCTGTTCGAGCCGATTGCTGGCACCATAGGCCTCTATTTCAGTATCACTGAAGTATCACAGTTTTGTATGAGACTTTTTGATGAACTACTTGTAGAATAGGTCGCCAGCTCGCCGTCTACTTACACATCAAGTCCATATTTTTATTAAACCAAAAACCAAACCGACTTCAAATAAATCGCTACGTATTTATTTTATAATTGATTTTCAGAAGCTCTCTAAGTATCTCCGGAGCCCAAGATCAAATACCAATTAAATTAATATGGGACCACATGGGAAGCACCAGCTATCAAATAAAAAAATAATCATCAAAATCGAAAGTTTCGAGGTTATGAACATAAAAAAAATACAGTCGAATTGAGCCCTCCTCCTTTTTTGAAGTCGGTCGAAAAGGTCCTACGAGATATTGCTGCGCTCTTTGGAGACAGATGCTCTATCGTCTCTGGGAATCTGAACCACTTTACAATTTAGTACACTTAAAAATGTTTTGGTCTTTCCTCACTTTCGCCTGGTGGGCCGAGACTAAAATGCCATTCTAATAAGTCATGTTGTTACTCCTTCTTTTATTTCATATGCTTGAGTCTGGGTACACTCAATCTTGTACTAACTGAAATTTATTAAGTGCATGAAAGTTTTGTAGGATATTTGAGCTATAAAAGACCAACATTTTGGTTTTGGCTTTATTTATTTCCCGACCGCTTGAGTCCAAACAGGTTACCTCTGTTCTGCCATATCGAAGTCTGAAATGGTAAGAGTCATCCCTATATGGAAGTATTAGGATTTTCATACTCCTAACCGTTATACCACCATACCAACGTATCAGTTTCAACGTCTTACACATGATGTATCGCTTTAAATATAGAAGAGGATTGTGTAACGATGTATTCCTGTTTAACTGCCTTCTGGATTATAAAATACAATATAAGCTTGTATTAACATCAGTTTTTGCTTTCAGTCCCGAGACTATTAAAGCTTTATCGGACGCATACAATATAAGCCTGAAAAGCATTGTGCTCTTCAGTCGAAAATATTTTTTTTTCCACTTCATGGATGGTCGCGTCAGACTTCTGGTGGCGTTATCAATATCCTGCGTGTTTTCCAGCAAGGCGAAACGTTTTTGTACCTGTAGCTGCAAATTTTAACATACAGCTTCAACCTGGGCAGTGATGGCCTGAGAGTCGCCTTCATCAGTCGCGCACATTCGATATTGATGTTCAGGGTGCTTCTGATTTACAAGACGGTGATCGCTACCGGTATTTACCCTGTTGATCACTGAGACATCCCTGAATATAAATGGCGCTTATTCGACGTAATGACATCGATCTGATTTTTAGTCACCTTATCGGGGTTAAGTCAGGTCCACTTCCTCTGAGGCTTTTCCTAATAGTAACTATTGATTGATAAGTATAATGTAGATATATTGTACTTTATTGAGACATGGCTCTAGATTATGACATTTACTATAAAAAAATGTGTAGTTATGTAAGAAATGAAACTTCTTTAGTATCACAAAAGAATTATAACCAAAAGAATTATAACTCTTAGTTTGTGAAAAATACATTAAACGCTCTTGATAACGATTTAATAAAATAACTTAGAAACATAGGAAAATGTCCAAAAATTGTTATTTTTTGTCATGGTAATACCGTGAAGTTGATTGTAATTGGTCGCTTTGCATCGAACTTCATCATGTCGCTATTTGGCGCACGTCGTAAACTCTCATATTTTTTTCCAAACGTGCCAAAAGAAGTATATACATACGTCGGACATCGCAATAGAAAATGCAACAATATTATACAAAGTCACACGAGTTCGCTTTTGCAATGACGAAAAACTTTTTACTAATATTAGGTTCTTACATATGAAATTGGCTTTCTATATGGAAAAAGTAAAACGAAATACAATGAAATTATATATTTACAAAATCGAAGTATTTCCCATTATTACCTAGATAATAATGGGATAACTTTCGCTAATATATAGTTAGTTCAATTCCATTACTGACAAAATTGTGGGAGCTGGAATCTATAAAACTTTATAAGACAGTTCATCTGATCTATCGGAATTAAATTTTTACCTTGCAAGGAATTGTCCAAATTAGGAAAAAAATGGTTATCGTTTGGAGCATGGTTTAGGAAGTATGGTGGGTGTCCAAGATATTTTTGCACCTGTCATGGAAAGAAAATTAACTGCACTAATGAAAGCCATATTAAATGTTATACCGTATCAATGCAATCTAATGCTATACAAATTGGATAATTTGACAATTATTTGTACAGTTTGCAACCAATTTGCGCGGGGTGTATTTGCAATGCTGGGAGCAGTGACACCGGAATCTTTTGACACCCTGCACTCTTATACCAACACTTTCCAAATGCCATTTGTCACGCCGTGGTTTCCTGAGAAGGTTTGTGATGAATTTTACTCGTTCTAATATTTTTTGTCATGCATATCATAACTAATCACATTCATTCGTAATAACATATTTCAAACATATAAAGTACAAATTTTTATAACTAAATACCTGTTAAAATGATGATAAATTAGAGAATTAAAAAGTAAAGGGTGTAGCCAAAGGTGAAGTACTCGTTTTAAAGATCAAGTGATTTTTAAAGTTTTGTTTTGTTACTGCAAATGAATGAGAGCTCAGATAAAAACTTGCACAACAAAACATTTTGATGCTGTTTTGAACTGACCAAATAATCGCAAAGATACGATTAATATAAAGATGGTTGTAACGAGAAATAGTTTTTGTGGAGCTCACTAAAGCAAACTGTCTCCATCAAGCGTTAGCTTTGAGGAATATAAATGGTCTGACGGCGGTAAAAGTCGCCTTCTCTAAGCGAGTGTCTACTGCATTTCGCTGACAGTCATTTCTCTAATTTAATTTCGATGCTTAACAGAAACGAGGGCGATTTTTTAGAGTTATGCATATGTTCACTGGAGTAAAATTTTACGCAGAGGTTTTTTATTCATATTTCAGAGCTGCTTGTGAAAAAATAATATTATTGAGGGTGTTGTGTGTGAAAATTTTAATGTTTGTTAGTTGCTAAATGATTTTGGAAACTAAACACACATATTATCCACTTTCAATTCCATTGCAAAATTATAATCAAAAATATTGAGAGTCTGCTATATAACTTTGTTCCATTTACTAATATAAAATGGCAAACGGCACTTTGGCTTCTTAAAATATATGCACATTATTAATTATCCTTGTAAGCCCTTAACAACAATAGTTTAAACACGAAATTCTAAGTTGTTGTGAAATATTGTTTTTGTGGATTCTGTTGTATTCAGAACTATTTGCAGGCATTTTGGAATTTATATTATATAGCCTTTGACGGCGGTGATCATTTACTAACAACCGATGCTTCTATGTTACTATGCAATAAATTACCTAGATTAAATTATTATTTGTTTTCTATTATCAGGTCATACCGCCATCATCAGGACTAATTGATCATGCTGTAAGCATGAGACCGGACTACCACAAAGCCATAGTCGATACCATTTTGTACTATGGATGGAAGGAAATAATTTATGTTTACGACTCTCATGATGGTAAGTTTTTTTATGAATATTTGTGCTTTTTGTATTCCTGTATCTTTATCAACCGGCTTCAAAAAGATGAGTTTTTCAATGTGGTTGTATTTTTTATGATTTTACCTTAGTATGCCCATCGTTTAGCTATTAATTTCTTTGGTATTGGAATCCGGGAATACATCAGGGAACTTCTTAAATCGAATAGAAAATGTGTAGTGAGTAAAAACATTTATTGTACAAACAATAAACTCTTTTATAATAAATATTATAATGGAGGAACATGAAATGGTAAAGTTCTTTTGTATAATAGAAAAGAGAATTCAAAAATTATCAGTTACACATACGAATATAAAAAATGAATCAAATTTTTATCCGTTATGAACATTGATAATGCAACCAGATGGCATTTGACTATTGTCACTTCGGTATTAATGAGTGATGGTTTATGTCAGGAGACCACACTAAAACAACCCCAATGATCGAATTAAGGAGCTTTGTTTATCCCTCTAACTTAATATAATTACGACAACAATAAATTTTAAATTTTGCATATATACGTACTTTAATCTATTTTTCGAAGTGTGATAAAGGGCTTAGGACGATACTGTCAGTTTTAAATGGCATGATGGGAGAATTTTCAACGACATGCTTCTTTTACATATCGCTTCTCTTTTATAAGTACTTGATGACCTATAAATGTAATATTTAACAGTCCCTATTTTTTAATGTGAAAAGTTGCCAAACGAGCAGGCGGTTCACCTGATGTTAAGTGAAGACCGCTGCCCATGGACATCTGCTACACCCGAGGTTTTGCAGATGCGTTGACAATCTTTTTGGAAATTGGGCTCCGGGTACCTCAATCACCAGACGAAACGCGAATGTATTATATTTCCACTTTATGCCGGTCTTGTGTGAGATCGTGATACTTACCCTGAAGAGCCTGCCCATTCGTGCAACAGGCGAGGCTCCTGCGTGGCCCTACCACCGTTATACCCCTCTAAAAATTATAAATTATTTCTTAAGTACTGAAAGTCGTATACACACTGCAAAAGAGAAAGGATTTATTTTTAAGTTTACGTGAAACATAGTAAATATTAATATAAAGGCATCTAAATATTAATTGGCAGCCCTGAGTAGAGTAAGTACTATTACTTTTGGTCAAAAGAGTATCGAATTTGCTACTCTATTTTACGACTATCCGTTGTTCTTTGATCTATAATATGCGTGAATAAAATTACCTTGTAATTTTAATCAATACCGCTGCCCGATACACTACAAACGGCAGTTATTTTCACATTAACTTTTTAATAACAGCGAACATTAAGATAAGAGTTGCGGTGCGTGGCGATCGTTGCAGGGATGTCGGCTTCGCAACGTTCCCTTTATCGTTTTCGCTTTACAACAGTAATGGCGGTTTTATAAATCGTAAATTGTGCCGGTCCCTGAGGATTACAGCGCGGCCGCTATTCCGTTAGCAACTCGTCCGATAATAAAATGTCGACACGAAAGAGATTGCGGATGCCGGGCTTCAGCTAATAGTCTCAGCACCCTGTTTAATAGGGTGCCTATCGTCGATGGAATACCGACAACTTTATTTAATTTATCCGAACTCTTCAAGATTACGTTTCTTAATGAGAAATTCTTAATTCGAATATCTTTATTCAGAAGAATCACACTCACTTATTGATTGAACCATTGACCTGAAAACTGAAACAACCGGCGAAGGAAACTCGCAATCTTGGTCAACAACATGCTTTTTGTCAAATATGTTCCTTTATCGAAGAAAATATAATTCAAAAAGGACGGTCTTACTTCTTAACTTAAATATTTCGGCTCACGCCCCTATCCACAGTGACATTAAAATTGAATTTAGGAGATGATTGGCCCTTTGGATCGGTCAGTATTCTTGTAAAAGGTTTTAATATAGTTGTTTTAAGAACATACATAAAAATAGAGCGTCAGAATTTGCCTGAAGTGGAGTAATTTTTTTGATTTACCTTTAAAGCGTCTATATTTAAAAATCAGCTAGAAGAATTTACGTAAGTAATGCTTTTGTGTACCTAAATTACCTGATACCTGGAAATTAGCCGTCTGACCAAGCTAGTAGATTGGTAGGCATGCGATCGTAGTACATACTTACTACTCAATCGTATACATTTCGTTCGTAAGAAAAGACGTGCAGATGTCTGGTGGCCCTGGGATCTTTTTCTATACATACAATATACAGAGTAAAATTTTAACTCGCAAATGTTGTTATTTTAAACAGAAGCTAATTAAGTTACCGTATTAACTAAAGACACAAAACTTAAAACTAATTAAATAAAAATTAAAGGAAGAAGTCACAATGTAGATCTTAGAGTTTCCAGCAGGAAAAAAAATAACTATGAAACTAATTTTATTAATTTTAAGAATCTGTCCTAATTCAATGTCAAAATGGTATACTTGTGGATATTTAAGTGCCCTTGCATTTACTACTTAAAAGTACATGAGAGCAATTATTGTTTATTTTCACCATACGCAATCAGTATAAAACATGTAAATACTTCGTTTACTTAATGTGACCATTCTATTCCATCATACATTAAAAAAATGCGGTTGCAGATATTTCCGATGTGTCTGATGATTTGCGTAATTGAATAGCAAATCTTGTGCAATCTTTACTTCCGATACACATATGTTAAAAAAACAAATCTAAAGTTATGAAAAAAGTTGAAACGAAAGGAGCATCGTCGTTTCTAATTAAAATAGGCGTGTTCTGTAAGCTAGTACAACTAAACTTCTAATAGGTAATACACAATTTTGAACAGGGATGTTCGACCTACTTAGATATTTTACCTTTACTCGAAACTCCCAGGGATTTCGTAGCAGGCATAAATAATGTTTACCGTACAGGAGCTGAACATCTCTTTCGGGACTACGTGCTTAGCTATATCTTCGAGTTATGAAACTTCGCTGGATTTATAGTCTCGATGTCTTGGTACAACTGCACTTGTTGCTCGACTTTTGTTTAGAGTAAACGAGTTCCTAAAAGTATGGCAACATATATCTTAACTATTCTTTTATTGGATTAGGGCATATTATGTTAATATGCCCACTAGTCTTTCCGTCCGCCGGTAGTGCGCCGGTTCGCTAGTCTTTATAGATATAATTCTTTTGTACGTTTGTATGTCCTAATTGGCTGGCTGGACCGTTTAAATAAATCATTTTAAATTTTTTTTGCGTCTTAAGGTAGATTCGAGAATGGTTTAGAATCACAGTTCGGTCCACTACAATGTTTTCTTTTATTTATTTTTTTAAGTTGTTGTCGGATTTAACTCGTGTGTACAGGACAACGTCTGTCGGTCGCGCTAGTACATCATAAACCCTTATATACCTTATGTACCTAATGGGACACACCTGTAAATTTTATTTATGCAATTTTTAATATTGAGATATTGCCAACTTTGTTTGTAGTTGCTTTTGCTATTCAAGAAAAAGCTTAACTTTAACGGAGTAGTTAGTTTACATATTTTGAGCAACATGAACAAATGGGATTGATGTATCATAAATTAATTCTCACCTTTTTAGGGCATATAAGCATAAGCTACAGTATTGTATACAATCGTGTTCAAATTTTAATTTCAAATATTTTTTTTCGAAAACGAGTACTTTAGCTTAATTTAAAATTAATAGAATTAAAATTCCATAATTTTAATATAATTAAAATTCATGGTCAGTATAAAAGTTCTCCTCTAAAGCCTTTTAATGCACAGTAATAGTTAACAAATAGTTTTCTGTTTTGTGTTCAGCAGAAGTAGGATATATTCCTTTTTACGCACATTTTATGGTAGTTCAAATTCCGGACGTTCAGTTTCAAATTCTTCGCACTCAAAAAACTAGGGATTGCATGCCGACGGCACTAGGAATGAAATCGTTGGAAACGATTTTAAAAGTTGGTTTAAATTTCAAGGATTTTTTTTGTTGTTGTGCATGCCGACATTCTTATTGTGATACGGATTTACAGAAGTAACAGCGTCTTGGAGTGAATTTAATTTTCACGCCGCTATCGTAGCGCTTGCATTGGCAGAAGTCGACATTCTTAATGAGCGCTTGTTTTAGTTTAGCTCTCGTTGTCATTGAGAATAGTTGCTCATAGAAACATCCAATAGAGATGCTAGTTTTCGCTTTAACAAGTTTGTGTAACTTAAGCTATGATAAAAATAGGTATGTTAATAGGTGCCAGTTTGAACGATTTTATCCGATTGATAACCACAGACTAGACATTTAAACTTTTTAGGTTGTGGGGGCGCGAGGCAATATACGACTGAGATATTTTTTTATTACATCGAATAATTTTATTATATACTTATAAGTTAATTATGATTAACAAATGCTCTTTTGAAATGTAGTAATAATGATTTTTTGATATATTTAGTCAAATAGTAGATATAATTTTTATAACGATAAATGATTTCAATTAAAAAAAAATACAGAATTTGAATTATATAAAATAAAAGAAAAATATTAATTAAATTTTAAGAAATATTACTCAGTTTCATCAATGTAGGCATTGTATTATTTATGACCGTCAGTGCTAGTCCAGTCCTTTCTGGATCTTTTCCAATATCGTTTTCTTCGACAGTCAGTACAAGTATTAAGAACAAATATAAAATTAGTAACACTATCTAAAACTAAAAAAATAAAATCTTTGACGTAACTTGACAACTGGTTTCCTTCATACATTTTAAAAGCCTCACCACCACTGTATAAGTATCCAATATCGACTATCCAGGCAAATTCTTCTCTGAGCGTAGATAATCGTGTCTAGTTATTAGAAACGTTAAATTCAGTCTTTATTTGTATAAAATTTTTCTTTTGTCTAAAATAGACTCAGGTGTATTTTATATTATTAGTAGAGCCAGTAGTAGTTTATCAACCCATTGTTATACCCTAAAGCGCGTTTTTCTGATTACCGCGTATTCTCATCAAAGTCTACGACTGTAACTCAGAAGGATAACTTCACCCTAATTAGACACTTC